CCTTGGCAGTGCTGAGGAGCGGTAGAAGCTCCTTCCCAGCCCAGTTGGTTCCATGCCTTGTGGGGTGCCGGAGGATGCATTGGGGCTGTCCTGCAGCTCTGCAGCGCTTCCCCCCATTCAACCCTGCTCCCCCCCGCAGTGCACAAAGCAGCTCATCTCGGAGCGGTTTGGCCGTGGCTCCCGCACAGTGGACCTGGAGCTGGAGACGCAAATCGAGCTGCTGCGGGAGACCAAGCGCAAGTACGAGAGCGTGCTGCAGCTCGCACGGGCTCTCACCTCCCACTTCTACAGCCTGGTGCAGACGCAGCACGCGCTGGGGGATGCCTTCGCCGACCTCAGCCAGAAATCACCGGAGCTCCAGGTACCCACAGACCTGAGCTGCAACACCTGCACTGCATCCCCTGCACTGCCTCTGACCCCCTGCACTGTCCCCCTTGTGCTGCATCCATCCACCTGCGCTGTGGGTCCCCATGAGCTGCAGGTCCTGTGCATGAGGACGAGGAGGAGAGTGGTGTTATCCATGAGTTGTGCTCGGTTATCTGTGAGCTGATTCCAGGCTCTCAGATCCCGGTCCATGCCATCCCAGCCCCATGTATCCTGTCCTGCAGGAGGAGTTTGGGTACAATGCGGAGACACAGAAGCTGCTCTGCAAGAACGGGGAGACGCTGCTGGGTGCCGTCAACTTCTTCGTCTCCAGCATCAACACGCTGGTCAACAAGACCATGGAGGACACACTCATGACAGTCAAGCAGTACGAGACAGCCAGGTAGGATGGAGCCACAGTGCTGTGGGGCACCATGGGGCAGCTGAGGGTCACAGCATGGCTCTGAGCCTCCCTCCATGCAGGCTGGAGTATGACGCGTACCGCACGGACCTGGAGGAGCTGAGCATGGGCCCACGGGATGCCGGCACCTTGAGCCGCCTGGATGCAGCCCAGAGCCACTTCCAGAGCCACAAGGACAAGTACGAGAAGCTGCGGGCGGACGTGGCCATCAAGCTCAAGTTCCTGGAGGAGAACAAGGTGGGGGCCTCACCGTGGCTTCGGGGAGGGCCTTTTGGGGTCTGGCATTTTTGGGCCTTTTTTGGTGGATCTTTTTTTTGGGAGCTGCCTTTTTGGGGGCTGCATTTGGGAGTCACCTTTTTGAGGCTTCCTTTTGGGGCGTCTTTTTCTGAGGATCTTTTTGGGGGGCTGCCTGCTGGGCATTTAAGGGCTGGCTTCTTGGGGGCCTCCTTTTGGTAGGTCCCTTTTGGGGGACAATTTTCGGGGCCTCCTTTTGGGTTCTGTGCTTTG